GCAGACTTGATAATATGTTAAGAGTGCGTTCTATATATTTTATCAACATATTTGCGGTCGATTATTTGTAAAACGTTCATTTGCCGATAAGCTCACCCCATTTCTGGCCCAAATAGGTAAATAAATAAGTAAAATATGCCAAATATATTTACGGTATCAACACAGCTAGCTATCTTTAATAAATGAAACCAGTTACACCAAGATAATACAGAAATCAATGTTAGATGTGAATACGTATCTTATAACGAAGATGATTAGATTTTGACATTAAATGGTTAATGCTGTTCAATATCCTTGCTCACGTTAGATATAAGGTTCATCAGCCAGGAAACATCTAGTGACATTAGTTGGTCAACGCAAACAATAGACCGAATACTCTAATTTTAATTAATTTGTAAGCTTATCATATTTTTTTCACATTTTCATTTTTGTCGTGTTTATTAAACAGGAAAAGATAAAAACAATGTGAGCTTATAAGGTAAGGAAGCTTACAGAACGGAATGATGGGGGGTCACGTTGACGATGTAAGCTCTCTCGAAAACTTTGTGTATGTACAAAGCTATGACGATATTTTTCAGGTTATGTACCCGATACGATCCGGCAGGGAGGTATTTCACACACAGTAGAATTAATAGTTAGGAAAAAACGGAATTGTTTTGAAAAGACACAAGATAATAGCGCCTTTTACTACAAATTTAGAATTATAATAATAATATAAACATCATACAGCTGTTTCGTTCTTCTTGGACTCGTTAGAGATGCGACGGGCTAAAATCTGTAACGTAAAAGGTGACCGAAAGATATGTTGAAGCTGAATGGGGAGGTGCACTAACTCCACTATTTAATATATTCGATTTCCCTCACCCCACTTTTCTACTTACGATAATTTCAGAAGAACGTAAAGTGCATGAGTACATTTTGAAACAATCCACTACTGGAATGAATTTATAACGGACCATGAAAAAGTCCGCCAACAATGTCTATACTCTGCAATGTCGAAGATTGTATAGAAGTCACACAAAATAGTAGCATCTTTTAATATAAATTTAGAATTAGACACAGATGAGTGAGACAATGAATTAAACTGTGTTACACAGCTATTTCGCTTTTCTAGGACTCGTCAGTGATGTTAAGGGACTAAAACTTCTGAAACCAAGTTAGATGTTTCTATTTGAAGTTCACCTGTGGAAGTCGCAAAAATTTAAGTGACGCGATGCCTTAAAAAGTCTAAAAACTACCCTCCTCCAAAGTTAAAGTCTCAGTATATAACATTATCCTGTGCTTTTATTTCTTTGCAGTTTATACTCACTGCTAGCGCACTATATTTATACCAGTTCCAACACCCACGGACGATTGTAATTGAATGCACAAATATATATTTCCTGTGTTTTCTCACAACATAAATCAAAGGAGTAGATTTTTTTTAACTGCAAGAGAACTGTCTTTAGATAATGTACGTTGATAGAATTTGATTTCTTAAGAGAATTTAATATCAAGGACGGTGTTAAGTAATATTCCTTACGCCAACAGAACTGTTTTGATTGATTTTCAAATGTTTAACAATCTTTATGTAACAGATTAGTAAAGTCCTACACGTCATGGAATTACCGTCAATACAAACTAAAGCAAGACATACTGGAAGCATGCCAACATAACAGACATTCGAAGGTATATATGTTTAAATATGGAGCACTTCGAGTTTACATAGCCTGGTCAACTTCATATGTCCCTTCATATATATGATACTAAAATAAATGATAAAATCGATAAGTTTCACCATACACTGTGCACGTTAAGACACTACCTTACTTAAACATTTATTGCTATCAACTGATTTTCGGGACTTTTGGTTAAAGTATTTTTACATTCTTTCAAACAGCGTCTTGTCGATAATTGTATTCAATTGCGGAATGAGAATATTTAAAATTCGTCAAAATGTTATTTGTACAAATTCTTGTTAGACTCGTTTACCTAACAGTACTATTTATCGAAATTTATTTCAGATGATCATGTTCGACTTGTATCTAAATTTCGTTTATCTTCTCATCAGCTGCGTCTAGAAAGTAGATATCAAAACATTCCAATGGAACATAGGATTTGCATTCATTATACCCAGAATTTAGTTATATTTTATTTTGATTTGTCCCTTCTATATAACTTTTCGTAATAAGTGTATTGAAATGGATTCTTGGAATCGTTCGTCGTCTTTCAAACTCGTACAATTACTAACGGTACATAATAGAAAAGAACTTTGTTTTCGAGGCAAATGTTTAGCATGTGTTATAATGTCGTTATATTGTACACGTACATTGTATTGTCATGTATAACTCGTATGTTAATAAGCTGTAATGCTTTAAGTAAATAAATAATACAATATCTTACTTACAAGTCGCTACACATCGTCGACTTTGGCTGGTCGTGTGGGAATCCTTATACTGACCGTCTAAATTTATTTATTTTATATCGTATATCAGGGTTTCATCTACGTATATCGGTTCGCCTGAAATATGAGTAGGTTCGTTCAGAATGTAATTGACAGTGGTCTTTAGTACTGGGTAGGGGTGGCTATCATCCATCTTGAGGGCAGACACAAATCTCCATGGAAGTCTTCACCGATTAGACATGTTAAGTTAATTTCTGCTATGTCGCGCTACCGGCAGATCTGGACTGACATAGGCTTAACTGGGACAGTTTTTCAACTATGGGATTCAACCACCTGCTTTTGTATGTGATAGTAAACAATCTACACGACATATTTATGGTGGAACGTGGATTTTATTTAACTCATTCTTCGAGGTATACGAAGTGAAATTATATACTGATTAAAATTCACACTACTCATTCACCTTCAGATGAATTCAACACCGGGTGTTTTTAACACAAGGCAAATTCAGTTCAATAGCATTACAACATGGTTGGATTTGGCAGTATATATTTATAGCACATTTTTGCGCAGCCTTGAACTTTGGACCCAGTCAGGTTTCTAATTACGCAATGCCTCGGAAACATCTTTTAGTTAAGGCCATTTCCTTTATATAGGTGTATTGATAATATGTAAAGAAAAAAACGTTTCGCTATCGATTACTTAGTGAAGGGTTTGTTTGTAAGGACAAGCATTAGTCATATCGGCAAAAAACGACAAAAGGACACTTGCATTACATGAACGGCAAGCATGTTGATCTCGCTGAAGTTATTAGGTCCGTGCGATTTCACATGATAGCGCACGTGCAGTCTAGGGAGGGCATACCCCATCGACAGTTCTCTGATCGAGATCCGCAGTGGATTGAAGTTTTGTATAATGTAAACAACGTCGTATGCAAACGAGTTTCTCAGTAATTCCTAAATTTAGAGAACTGTTCGCTTTCTTAGAAACGTAAGATATGTGTAGGTTTACATAATACAAACGTATGCATAGACACGGTATGTATGTATACACCGAGAGAAGTCGACAGCAAGTCCCGAACTATGCGTCACCGATACACAATGTCAATAATAACATAGTGATAATACATAGACCGGTAAAGCACATATCTTATAACAGTGAAATAAGGTAAACGAAATTCACAGTAAATAGCAGCATCAACAACACCGAGACAAATTGGGAAAAATTGTACATTCACGCTAAATTACACTTATATTTCTTTTGTGATTCATGATTCCCTATCTAGCTAATCTACTTACGTGGTAATCGGATAGATAGCAATTTATTAATATTCCACCCCGTATAAATTATGTACACTTGTTGTTGATCACTTATGTACAATTTTGCTATATGGAGCAACTCGTCCTTCCTCTCTGCCTCTCGCATCCCTGGCCCTCCTTCCTCCGCTTACCTCCTTCTGTCTTCGTTCCTTTCTCCTCCCATTTTGTACCTCTTCATTCTTTTATGTTTCCTCATCCTTCCTTACCTAGTGACGCCTCTTGCACATTCACTCCGTCATATCCCCATATCCTTCATCTCCATGTGTCCCCTCTCGTCGTTTAATCTCTTCAATCCCCCATCCTCCTTATGTACTGTCCTCGTGCTCTCTCTCTATCACATTCCCGTCTCATCTTTGGTTTCCTTGTTCTACCATGGTCTCCTCCTTATCGCTCAAAGTCTCACATGGTTTGTCTCTTTTCTTCTAATATGTCCATCCTCTCCCTTCTCAATGCCTTTTAATATCGTAAATGAACGTACCCCCTCTCTCTTCTTACAATGTCCCTTTCTTCTCCTATCGTTTTGCCCTCGCTTACTTTCAAGTCAGAAACTCTCCCCAGCATTGCAATGTCTTCTTCTCCCACCACTCGTTTCAATATTTACATCAATTTCCCACTTCCCTACCCGTTTCCACTATTCCGGCATGTTTTGATTTCTCACCAGTTATCAATTTTAACTTCATTCAAATGATATATCGCCTTGTCAACAATTTGACATGGGTACATATACCTGGTGTTCACATTAAAGCTTCTGATAACAAACGCAATCATGTCATAAATAAATAACATTGTGACTGATAACAATTTAGATATGTGCACGTTTATATGTGTACCCCGGCTGCAAAGCCATTTGACACTTAAAATTACTCGTCACGAAAAGATACACATGCGAGATCGGAGAAAAGCCAATTTTAGTAAAAAATCTTTATAATTATAACCATAAATAAATAAACAATGTTGTGTCATTCTATTTCAGATACGCCTGACCTAGAAACACAGCAGTCTTTGTGTACGCTAAGATTGCAGGAAATTTTCAAAATTATAGGACTCTGAATCATAAGCAAGCTCTATACTCTGACAAAGGATTGCTTGTGGTTCAAAAATACACTACAAAATCTCCAGACTCGTTTGTCATAAGCTATTCATAGCTGCAAGGATTTCCGCTGTCTATAAATAGATCAGGTTATTCCTGGTTTGTTGTATTGAGAAGAAATGTACTTCCCAGAATCGAAGTCATGTGACATAGCTGTTGTATATAACCGTTCGATGTGACCGTCGGCCAACAGAATTAGTATCCTATCTCAGCGAGAAACGGGTAGTACTCACTGTGTTTCCAAATTAGGATTAAATCATTTCACGACGACAGTTCTTCCGAGGAAATAGGTGAGTTAATTTGCTATGTTACGCGGTAGACCTATATTTGTGTACAACGTACACCAGCTACTTTATTGCAGGTATACTACAAACAAACGAAGTGCTTTTAATGGGCGTTTTATTGTTTATTTATTGATCAATTATGTAAACGCACTGATTGTGATTATTTCTGTTCAAGTAGTACCTTCTGTTTAAAAAATGTTTATAAACATTAGTACGTAAAACGAAAGTACTTATTGTGTTGACACGATTGTTTGTACAAATCTTGAAAGGAAACACTCTTTAGTATTTATTTTTTGTGCACCGATACAAATTTATTGATATCATAGTCGTCCTCTCGACATTTTAACAGACTATTTCTGTATTTGTTGACATTCCTTGTAAACAAATTATATAGATTTGTTGTCTTGTTTACGTTCGCTATATTTTATCTGACCTAGTACGCAGGCAAGTTTGCTTGCCGTCATGTCGACACATAATCCGGGTTGCCATTGGTAGGGCTTTTATCAAGTTGATTGATCAAAAGATGCCAAAATGTCTCTGTTTCTCTCCATAACCAGTCTACCCTTATGTCGTGCTTTCTCTGTGGCACCTGTACCTTGCCTGAACCACTCCACTGCAGGTTTTAAATGTCATTGCAGCCCTATCTGCAATACACATGTTACGGATAGTTGCACACTACAGCAATAGTGTACCAGTTATCGGATTCGCTCTACACTATTTATAGCCAGACAATTCAATACTCGATGTGTGTTAACCCGTATTTGGTCTAATTTACTTCCTTGTCGAATTGGAGGCGATGACCCTTTTCTGTACACAACACTGGTTTAACAGCTTGTGTACTTGGTCAAGATAGATACTTCACACAGTTGACAGTGTAGATTACATCTGACTAACGTGAGATTTAATGATTTATTTAAGGGTGGTGAATTAAAATGGTTGTGTCCAAGAAAAGCCCTGTTATGAGAAAGCCGATTCGCCCCATTGAACGCCAAAAAATGAGGCCATGGTTGATGAATTTGTTGCTCCACGAAAACGTGACTGGTCTATCTTGGTTGTCCAAGAGAGAAAGGACTTTCCGGATATCTTGGAGACATGCTGCTCGACAGGGCTGGAACCCCGATAAGGACGCCGATCTGTTCGAGAAATGGGCCAGACATACAGGTAAGTATTTTTGTTTGTGGACGCAGACAAAAAAAAAATGTCAAAAACATAATCAATACAACGTAAATATCAATTATCAAATAATTGAAGATAAGTATGAAATTATCATGTTGGAGGTAGTTATTTTCGGTCGAAATGTGGGTTGTGACTGCACTGCATGCAATATGTCAATCGACAACGTAAACAAGACAAGTGCTATAAACATTATACCCCTCTTTCAGTTCAAAAAGAGTTTCCAGATTTTTTTTTGTCATTGTAAAACAGCGCATGGTCGATTCAACTTCAAAATAATCGTCCTATGATTATAGTACAAAGGGTAATTATATAGAACAGATACTGATCTAGGTGTACTACGCCAGCATTAAAGTGATCTCAAAGAGGCTCCTAAAGGGAAATTAAAATAAATTGTAGTAAAGAAAATTAAATTTGTCTACAATTCGATAACATCGCATTAATAGAGAACACCAACAAATCCCATCGCCTCTCCATAAAATGGTATGTTTCCCATGTAAACACAGGGGAACTAAAGCGTACTGTATACAACGTTATACAAATTTCATGTCGCACTAAATGTGTAAACACCCTGAAATAAACGAGGAAGATAGTAAATTTAATGTACTTAACTTAGGTAAGCACATGGACAACGACGTCCCCGATCCAAAAAGATGGAAAGCCAACTTCCGGTGTGCATTGAACAGCCTTCCTGATGTTACCGAGGTCAAGGATCAGGGCGTTCGTAAAGGCCAAAACGCCTTCAAAGTATACCGCTTTCTAGAGGAGAAAAAATCTAAATTTATAAGTAAGTGCATCTACAATTTTAAACCAGTTTGAGAAAAAAAAAAACCGCACAAAATTTGAGAGAGAAAAAAACATCGCGCATGTCCCTTATTTTATTGTATGTATGTTAAATTATAAAACTTGATTTCTTCACCAATAGAACCGATTGAGGAAATTGAGGTGACAACAAAGTCCCCTGTCCGACAGTCTTCTAGACCACAACGCACACGTATCCCCAACAGGAGGTACACCTTCTCCGACAGTGACAGTGATGCGGACAGTGTGGACTTTCTCGATGATGCCTCCTCCTGCGGGGTAAGGTCCGCGATACATTATGTAGACATGTTACCTTCTGCTACAACTTGTTACAACAACTGCCTCGTAACGTGTAACTAAAAAAGTGACGGTTAAAACTATACAGAAGCGATTCTAAAATGATTCCCCGCATCAGTGTTTATTGCAATAGAAAAGGGCAAAAGTTTTAGAATCTATAAACGATACTTGTGTCTCATTGATTATTTTGATGCTTCTGGTGGTGTTTTACAAAGAGCTAACCCCGGTTTCCCTCATTGTCGTTTGACAGATTGCCTCGCCTATTTCTGTAAGATCTGATGGTGGTGACGAAACTACATGTTCATCATCCGATGCCGAGTCACTTCCGGAAGCCAGACTGGAATCGGAACATCGCGACTTCCCCAACTTTGACAAAATTTGCCCAGACTACCACATAGGTAGGTGTAAGCGTTGGGTTTTAAAGTAATGTTATTAAGTCTCTAGGTTTCCAACTAGACACAAAGATGGGGGAGAATACCGAAAATGCTCGCTTTATTGTTGCGTTTGGGGCAATTTTTTGTGAACGGCAGGGGATAAATGACAAAACTTTCAAAATGTGCATGGAAAAGTAAGAAAAAGACCTCTCACAAATATAGACCGTTTGCTTAAAAAATTAATGAATACAATGTTTTTTATTTTGTTTTTCAATATTTCATCGGTAAATGCATATCTCGAGTATAGCCTGTTCATCTGATATATAATGCATGATATCGATGTTAATTAGTTTGTTCTGTTTTCAGAAATTGACCCACTAAAAGTCAGACTCGAGACACAACAATCAACAGATGATTGTAAGTTTAAATCATGAATGTTGTTTGAGAAAAAAACAAACAAACATAATCAAGCTACTGAAAATGGATACAGCACTAGTCTAGACTGTCCTATAAAATTCTGTGTGGTTCTCCACATCACCTCATATATAATGCATTATCATGGCCATTGTGTATTCTGTTACTGTTAATTGCATAGCTTTTTCCATGTGAATCAAACACAGTAATGATGCGCGATACTCAATGTCTTTTGTTTTAATTTTGCAGCTGCATCAACCACAAGCAGCACACTAACAGACGAAGAAGTGGTACAGGTAGGTATTTTTTCCCTCAATTTGCACAATTACAACAAAAGAATATAAATTTTGACAAAAAATATACTTTTACCTGTCACCGTTACAGAAGAATATTGACCAAAATAAAACACAATTTTTCTACAGTATTTGACAGGAATGATACCTATCTTTAAAACAATTCATTGTTTCCATCAGATGCTGTTACTTGAAGATGTCATTAAGCCTGAGGAGATAGCATGCAACGAAAATCTGTGGACGACTGGAATCGTTCCTGACATTGCCATGGGTAAGATTATCTACAAATGAAAATAATTTTTGGAACAAACTCTAAATTCACAAACTTTTAAGTTTTTTTATGGCAAGGTGGTAGACTTTGAAAATGTGTTTTTATTTCTTAGTCATTACACGCTCCCTCTCAAAATAAATCTATTTCATCAATACCTAAATGTTGTATTGCTTGCAAATCTGTTTCAGAGAGGTTTTAAAAAACATGCTAACAAGACGTAGAGTTATTTTATGTCCATTTTAATGAAAACTCATTAACTGTGTGACATTTACCTCTCAGAACAAGACGTAGAAACTACATACACCATCCTCCAAAACTCCAGCCCATCGCTTATGGAGTTCCAGGTTGTGTGCGAGACCGACGCTGTGAGAACAGAACAGATTCCAATTGGGATACAACAGGAAACCGTAAGTAATAAGTTTATAAAAATCGGAATTCACTGCGAAGAAATTTGAAATGTCGTCTCGCTAGGAGACACCTAAAACTGTGTTTCAAGTTGCCTTTTTATATAAAGCTACACCTAATATGTTAATAATATTCAGCTTTAATCACTTATATAGACGATCACAATTCCATTTCTTTATTTTCCAGGTGTACACGAGCATAATGAACTTATAATCAACATTGCTTTTCCTCATTGCTCCCGTCCCAAAACTGACCTGGTAACTTCATTGGTTGTGCCGAGTACAAGGTGAAACATTGGTCTAGTAGCCCTTCATTTGTGATATGGCAAGTCAATTAAAACGGCACTTACTTCCGATTAATGTGCTGAAACATTAACAGATAGTCATCTCTTACTTCTGGTTTAGATGATGAAACAGTAAGGATCGATCACCATACTTTCGTTTTAAGTGCTAAACCGATAATCATAAATCACGTGACTTTCCGTAAAAGTGCATTACCGGTAAACCACAAGTACCTTTTTTATGGGTACAGTGCTACATCAGTTACCTGGAAATTCTGGACTAAGTGGAAGTGTGGATTATGAATTCCATCTCTGATGCTGTTACCGGTGCAATAACATAAGTAAAACATGTGTCATTTAATTTTTTAGTAGCACTGGTGTTTTATTTTCTAGTTGGAAGATTGCATCTACATCTACTTAAAAAAGTCAGAATTTCAATCAAATGTGTGAGAAATCTGACCATGATGATATGGACAAACTAGTCATTATATAAATATTCAGTGTTTGTCCGATGTAGCCAATATTTACAGTACCAATTTACAGGGACCTGTGCATTGTTTATTTGTTGTATATATGGTTATTGATATTGTGATTAACTGCAAAATAAACAACAAAACATGGTTATGAGGTTATGTGTTGTTATTTCATGTTTAACATAAGATCCCAGAGGAACCTTGGTGCCCCCATCATTGTATCTGTGCCTTCAAAAGTTTCATCTTATTCATTCTTTCCTTTCCTCTATTTTTGCTCTTGTTTATATGAAATTTGAAAATTCCTCTACAGTGATATTGGTAATATTTTTCAATTGTCAAACTCAAGATGGTTGGCTGTAGGCAGTTTTCTTTCACTGGTTAGTCTGAAAATCTGAATGGCACAACTAGGGACCAAAGGAAATATACATGTGAAAATTGAAAAGGTCTATTCACTTCTCCCAAGGAATATCAATAACAAGCTTGCATTGTTAAAATCCAAGATTGCCACCTATCAGCCATTCTTTTGTTCTGATCGTACCCAAATCTAAAGGGCATAAGGAACCAATGGGATATACATGTGAAAATTGAGAAAGATCTGCCCAGTACATCATAAGAAGTAATGATAACAAACTTTTCAAAGTCAAAATCCATAATGGCCATCGGTCAGCCATTTTGTTTTTCTGATGTGAAACATTATTTTAAGGCATGAAGAACAAAAAAACCTTTTATCAGAAAGTAATTGGTTATTTCCAAATCCATAATAGATGTATCATATGGTAACAAAAGCTGTATTAGGCAGTCCTCTTGGAAACAAATGGACTTAGGAGTTGTGAGCTTTCCTTTTTATCCACAAGCATGTCCACACTTATCGTTTAAGGTATTACGTACGCGAAACATGCGTACTCGGCCCCTGAGTAAAGGATTAAACAGTGTCAATAGGAGTGTGTCACATGGGTTAGGGTCACTTCATGTGCTGACCGCAAGGAATGAAGACCAAAAAACCTATCCTCTGCTGTTTGTTCTCCTCTAAAGGTAATGACATTTTTACTTTAATGTTGGCATGTTAATTGGTTATTGAAAGCATTTCTTGAAACTTTTTTCGATAAAATTATCATTTTTCTTGATATTTCTATTTAATGGGGTGTACTAGCTATATAATATACATCTGTTACTGTAATCCCCCTTGGGTGGAAATACGTCACACCCACGCATCCTTCCCCGTCACACACCGGAAGTGGTCAAAATTGTAAATAGTCAGATCATAGCCTAGCTATAGTGTAAAATTGAAATGCTTAATCATATTAGTAAAAAATTTAAAAGAGGAGAGTGTTTTGGAATTACATTTTCTTTCTTTCCTTCTTTTTGGGGGTAACTTTATTCATAGATCTTGTTACTGTGGCTGCCAGGGACATGAAATATTGTATTCAATTTGTAACTCTAAAGTTTATTTATTAATGCTGAGAAAGTGTATGAGGAAGTGAGGGTGTGAAAGATGTATGTGTGAGGATATGATTGATGAAAAATTATGATTATATTGATTGACAAGTATAAATTGAAGAGTATGATGATGTTGTTAATGATGACGCTATTGATAATGATGATGACGATAATGTTGATAATGATGATGATGATGGAATGATGGATGACTACGATGTTGGTGTTGATGATGATGATGATGATGTTGATGATGACTGTTGAGGATTGTGGATGAAGATGTTTGAATGATTGATGATGATAAATGATGAGTATCAATTATTAACATGATGATGATGATTGTTGATGATATTGGATGATGATGATTTCGGAATGAATGATGATGACGACGACAGTGATGATGATGATGACTGTTGATTGTGGTTGATGATGATGTTTGAATATGGATGATGATGATGACGATGATGATGATGATGACGATGCTGATGACTGGTGATTGTGGTTGATGATGATTTTAGAATATGGATGATGATGATGATGATGATGATGATGATGATGATGACGATGCTGATAACTGGTGATTGTGGTTGATGATGATGTTTGAATATGGATGATGATGATGATGATGATGATGATGATGATGATGATGATGACTGGTGATTGTGGTTGATGATGATGTTTGAATATGGATGATGATGATGATGATGATGATGATGATGATGATGATGATGATGATGATGCTGATGACTGGTGATTGTGGTTGATGTTTGAATATGGATGATGATGATGATGATGATGATGATGATGATGATGATGATGATGATGATGATGATGATGTTGATGATGATGATGATGATGTCATGCTCTATATGATCTTTTTGAAAAATAAAAGAAATATAAAAAAAAAATGTAACATGGAATGAATAAAGATAACTAGATGAAAAAAAAAAGTTTATTTACATTGAGGTATGTATGTAAAATTGTACCAGATTATAGTGACCCTATAATTTGGTACTTCATGCCCTGGCCACAAAGAATAATGACAGAAACACCTAACCTCTGCTGTTTGTTCTCTACAGATCCTGCCTTAAGTAGTACTCTTTATTCACAGACAAAAATCATCTTAAAAGGATTGAGCATAAAATGAGTGATATTGGATTCAGACGAGCGAAAAATCTATCTCTTTTGTTTGTACTTATATGTTTTTTTTTTACAAAAGATGTTTTGTCTGAAAGCAATGTTAAAAGGATTGAATGCCTAAAAAGCAGGTTTGAATCTGAACTTAAAACTTTTTTATTCTACTAGTATACAAAATATAAATAACCACTGAGTGATTCAATAAAGTAATTTTAGGATTCAATGTTTGTAACTTATGGTAACTTTTAGTAACCTTTAATGTAGCTACCTGCATTTTCATTTGATTCAAACTTTAAAAAGATAATTTCCACAACACTAAACAAGTCCATACTATTATGACTTACTGAGTCAATTAAACAATTCCCATGTATGAATTTATTTGTTGAAAATTATTCAATGACATAATCCACTATCGTTAATCCAAAATCGGAGTTATGAATAATAGCTTTTTAATAACTAATATGTAATTCCATTTCAGACTACAGTATGATTGACTTTGGCAATTCCTTGATAGTGCATTTATAGGTCATCAGGTCAAATTCTAGAATGACTGCCATGCTTTTTTATGATAAGAATGGATTTATGTTATTAAAAAGAAATAACATGGGACTATAAGAATTTTGTCGGCATGCTAGGGCCTAATTTTTAACAGTACAGACACCGATGGAGATATTGTTGAGTAAACCATACGTAATATCAGGCCCTATATCTGTGCATAGACAATCTTTGAAGGCTCCCAAGCCAAGTGAGTTTGGTAACTGCCATTTCAAGTTTTTGAAACACATCAATAACATTGGGGCTGTAATGAGTAACCGAACCACCCGTTTCGGGTCAGTTTTGATCCCAACCCGGGTTGGAAAATGTGTACCTTGTTACCTGAGTCAGTATTATCTTGTGCTATTGCAAAGAGGTTTTCAAGTACCTATGTACTCTTGTAGGCTTTCTGTTGATAAGAAACAATGTTTATTATGCAGGAAAACATATATATATGTTGTTTAACGCCTACATTGTTTTACTTTGGTTGACACTTGACAGATTCTCCTGCCAAGAAATATGCAACAGCTTTAACCTAACAATCGGGATTCCTCAATATTCACAAGGTATACATACAATACACCTTGAGACACCTTGAACGGATAAACATTTCATTATTACTGTAAACAAGAAGAGCTCCTCTGAACTGTATGTGTCACCTGCATAAACTGTCACGGTCACCCAGAAATCGAACTGGATGTCAAAACTAATCTGTACCCTTCCAACAAGAAGCCATATACCTAAATTTAATTTCTATAACTCAAAGCGTAACCAAAGAAAGTCCAGAATACAATAATCACAGAGAATTTTCTAAGTTCAAAGGGGCATAACTCTGCCAAGAAGGGTTACAGTCAGCCAGTAATCGATCTTAATCTGTAACCTATCAACAAGAAGCCATATACCAAATTTCATTTAAAAAACTCAAAGCATTTATGTGCACTATGGATTTCAACCCATAAACATAATTGCAGATCAAGGATTCCTTAACTTTGTTACCTCTTTACACAAGTTCTTTCCACGACAACTTTGATGGAGTACATAGACAAACTCTATGACGAGATAGAGGGCCGATTGACGAGCAGTTACTAATTCAGTTGTCTTGACAACCAACATATGGACATCGCTGTCCACAGATGGTACTTGTGTCTCATAGCACAGGATCTGAATAAAAATTTGGCACTGTCTAATACACTGATGGCGACAGGTGTCATAGAAGACCGAACACAGGCATCAATATTGCCAAAGTACTACACCACATAACTTCTGAGTTTGAAATAAAAGAAGTGTCGGTACTCGTAACAGACAATGCGTCCGAAATGACAAAAGCAGCTACTGAAATTGGATTTGACCATGCCGGGTGTTTTGCACATACCCTACAATCGGTTATCAATGATAGTCTGAAATTACAAACTATTGCAATTATTGTCAGTGCTGCCAAAAGTGTTGTTGGCCATTTCAATCACTGATTTATTGCCACAGAGGTGCTGAAATAGGAACATATTAAGAACGGGAGGTTCCAACTGAATGTTGTACAAGATGTACAAACAAGGTGGAACTCCAATTTTTTCATGATTGAAAAGTTGTTAAGAGCTAAGAATTCCTATATATATATATATAGTTTTGTTCATAAGCGAGTTCCTACAGCAGAACGGTCCAAATTTGACATCACTGATTCTCACCAGAGAAGTGATTTTTTTACTGCTTGTGTATGAGGCAGCACTCGACCCCCGCTACAAGTCACTATGTTTCTGAAACGACACAGACACAAGAAAAAAATCTAAAGCTATCTTGGATTCCAGACAAACCCGAAAACAACACTTGGTCAGGACCACCTCAGGATCATTTCATAAAAGTTTGATCTCAATCCCACTGGTGGAACTTTAGTTTGAAATGTCAAAGTTTACACATGGCCGACGGATGAAGCATGATGACTATCATAAAATCATAAAAATGACACGTTGATCACACTGTCCTGTACCAATCAAAACTTATTGTACCACATGCATAGTGCTCAGGATATAAATAAAGAATCAATCGGCAAT